GGAGGGGGGGACACGGGAACACCAGAGGGGGGGGACACACACAGGGACATGAGGGATGACGTCGGGGGTGATGGGACGACATGACTCAGGCCCAACCTGAGCTAAACGAGCCCAAACTGAAACGAGCTTAACCCCAAAGACCCGCGAGCCCAACCCCGAGCTCCACGAGCCCAACCTCAAACGAGCCTAATCTGAGTTAAATGAGCCCACCTGAGCTGAGTGAGCCCAACCCAGAGCTAAGCGAGCCCAAACTCAAACGAGCCCAACCCCAAAGACCCACGAGCCCATCCTGCCGTTCTGGGAGCCCAACCCCGAGCTCCACAAGCCCAACCTGAGTTAAACGAGCCCAAACTCAAACGAGCCCAACCTGAGTCAAATGAGCCCAAACTCAAACGACCCCAAACCATGTTAAACGACCCCAAACCATGTTAAACGACCCCAAACTCAATCAAGCCCAACCCCAAAGACCTGTGAGCCCAACCTGCCGATCTGGGAGCCCAACCCCGAGCTCCACGAGCCCAACCTGAGTTAAACAACCCCAAACTCAAACGACCCCAACCTGAGTTGAGTGAGCCCAACCCAAGTTAAATGAGCCCAAACTCGAGTGAGCCCAACCTGAGTTAAATGAGCCCAAACTCAATTGAGCCCAACCCCAAAGACCCACGAGCCCATCCCACCGTTCCAGGAGCCCAACCCCGAGCTCCAGGAGCCCCCCGCGGCTCACCGGCCTGCCGGCAGGAGAAGGCGAAGACGATGATGTCGTCGAAGGCCCAGGTGTAGTCGGGGTGAGGGGGGTAGAAGGCCAGCGCCCGCGAGGCCTCCTTGCGCAGGTCCAGCAGCAGCGTGGAGTGCACCATGGGCACCGGGAAGCAGCCCCGGCGCTCCCGCTTCCGCAGGGGCAGGTAGGCCGGCGTGCGCCGGTAGTAGCCCTGGGCAAGCGAGAGGACCCAAGTGGGGCAACCACCCGACCACGGCTGGTGGTCGCATGGGGGAACCACGGGGATGTGGAGAACATGGCACCTGGGGGATCCCCACATGGACCACGAGGACGTGGAGGACCCAAGGGGCAGGTAGGCCGGCGTGCGCCGGTAGTAGCCCTGGGCAAGTGAGAGGACCCAAGTGGGGCAACCACCCGACCACGGCTGGTGGTCCCATGGGGGAACCACGGGGACACAGAGGAGATGGCACCTGGGGGATCCCCACATGGACCATGAGGACATGCAGGACCCAAGGGATGTGGCAACCAAAGGACAGAGAGGAGTTGACACCCAGAGGGTCTTCTGCTGCACCCAAGGGGAACCAGAGGACCAAGGGGAGGTGGCACCCAAGAGACCTGGAGGACACAGAGGACCCAGCACCCAGGGGAGGTGGCGCCAGAGGACCTGGAGAACCTGGCACCCAGGGGACACAGGAGAACAAGACCTCCATGGGACCAGAGAACGTGGCACCCAGGGCACCTGGATGACCCAGGGGACCCAACACCCAAGAGACATGGCACCCAGGGGACCTGGAGGACCCAACACCCAAGGGACGTGGCACCCAGGGGACACAGAGGACCCAGTGCCAGGAGATCAAGACCTCCATGGGACCAGAGAATGTGGCAACCAGGGGACCTGGAGGACCCAAGGGACATGGCACCCAAGGGACCTGGAGAACCTGGCACCCAGGGGACACAGAGGAGCCAGTGCCAGGAGAAGGGGCAGGTAGGCCGGCGTGCGCCGGTAGTAGCCCTGGGCAAGTGAGAGGACCCAAGTGGGGCAACCACCCGACCACGGCTGGTGGTCGCATGGGGGAACCACGGGGATGCAGAGGAGAAGGCACCCGAGGGATCCCCACATGGACCACGGGGACGTGGAGGACCCAAGGGATGTGGCAACCAAAGGACAGAGAGGAGTTGACACCCAGAGGGTCTTCTGAGCCCCAGAGGGTCTTCTGCTGCACCCAAAGGACTTGTAACCCAAGGGGAACCAGAGGACCAAGGGGAGGTGGCACCCAAGGGACCTGGAGGACCCAGGGGACCCAACACCCAAGGGACATGGCACACCGGGGACCTGGAGGACCCAGAGGACCCAAGGGACTTGGCATCCAGGGGAGGTGGCACCAGAGGACCTGGAGAACCTGGCACCCAGGGGACACAGAGGAACCAGTGCCAGGAGAACAAGACCTCCATGGGACCAGAGAACGTGGCACCCGGGGGACCTGGAGGACCCAGAGGACCCAAGGGACTTGGCACCCAGGGGAGGTGGCACCAGAGGACCTGGAGAACCTGGCACCCAGGGGACAGAGAGGAGCCAGCAGCCAGGGGACAGAGAGGACTTGACCCCCAGAGGGTCTTCTGCTGCACCCAAGGGACGTGGAACCCAAGGGGAACCAGAGGACCAAGGGGAGGTGGCACCCAAGGGACCTGGAGAACAAGACCTCCATGGCACCAGAGAACATGGGACCTGGAGGACCCAGAGGACCCAGGGGGGGTGGAACCCAGAGGACCCAGCACCCAGGGGGACCCATGGAGGTGGCACCCAAAGGACCTGGAGAACAAGACCTCCATGGCACCAGAGAACATGGGACCTGGAGGACCCAGAGGACCCAGGGGGGGTGGAACCCAGAGGACCCAGCACCCAGGGGGACCCGTGGAGGTGGCACCCAAGGGACCCGGAGGACACAGTGCCAGGAGAACAAGACCTCCATGGGACCAGAGAACAAGGGACCTGGAGGACCCAGAGGACCCAGGGGAGGTGGAACCCAGAGGACCTGGAGGACCCAGAGGACCCAGCACCCAGAGGAGGTGGCACCAGAGGACCTGAGGACATGGCACCCATGGTTCAAGGGAGGTGGCACTGGAAGACCAAGGGGAGGTGGAACCCAAGGGACCTGGAGGACACAGTGCCAGGAGAACAAGACCTCCATGGCACCAGAGAACATGGGACCTGGAGGACCCAGAGGACCCAGGGGAGGTGGAACCCAGAGGACCTGGAGGACCCAGAGGACCCAGCACCCAGGGGGACCCGTGGAGGTGGCACCTAAGAGACCCATGGAGGTGGCACCCAAGGGACCTGGAGGACACAGTGCCAGGAGAACAAGACCTCCATGGCACCAGAGAACATGGGACCTGGAGGACCCAGAGGACCCAGGGGAGGTGGAACCCAGAGGACCTGGAGGACCCAGAGGACCCAGCACCCAGGGGGACCCGTGGAGGTGGCACCTAAGAGACCCATGCAGGTGGCACCCAAGGGACCTGGAGGACACAGTGCCAGGAGAACAAGACCTCCATGGCACCAGAGAACATGGCACCTGGAGGACCCAGGGGAGGTGGAACCCAGAGGACCTGAGAACATGGCACCCAGGGGACCTGGAGGACCCAGAGGACCCAGGGGGGGTGGAACCCAGAGGACCTGGAGGACTCAGAGGACCCAGCACCCAGGGGGACCTGTGGAGGTGGCACCCAAAGGACCGGGAGGACACAGGGCCACGAGGACAAGACCTA